GGAATATTTGCTCTTATATCTCTCCAAAATCTTTCTATATTTTTTCTATATTTTTTCTATCTTTTTATATTTAAAACGAGAGTTCAATCATCAAACTTTTTTTGTTCATAACTTTTTTATAAACAATGAGCGACGGATAAAACATATTATTATTCAGAGAGGTGACCTTGATAACATATGTCAAAATTGTTGAGATCGGAAAATAGTCCGTATAACTGCATAATTACCAAAAATATATTTTGTAATCTCTCTTTCCGGGGTTTATCAACTCTTATATTTTCTATACAAAGTATATATGTACTTGAACGCTCTGGACGACCGAACCTCTAGAGGATCACCTGTACGAACAAGAGACGGCCTCGAGAAGCGACACATGGAAATCCAGTATCTCATCGATATTTCTCAATCGTAAAATTAGACAAAAACATCTGCGCGTTACAATTTGTATACTTCGCGTTTGAATTCATTCAGAAGAAATGAACATCGCGACGTGTCGTCGATCCGGTCGCACGACGCGCGTTTACACATGCATACGAGTGACACGATTAAACACGTGTTCGGCTAATGTTGTCATGTCAATCCCTCTCGCGTAAACACCGCCATTGTTGCCGATTACGTAGGAGATAAGCGGCCACACACATGCGGCAATACAATAAACGTGTGCAATAATTTTCAGCGGCGGTTACATTCCACGCACAGTAATAGCGTGTGTGTCGTGCGCGCCCGTTACGTTTAAAATCAAAGTATCGACGACCTTATTTCCGTCGAACTGCGCGCTGACCGCGCACCATTTCTGTGTGCTAGCGGGTTTTTTACGTGCTGCGATTCCGAGCGAGCTGCGCTTTTTTCTCAACATTTTGATAAATTTCAGACGCTTCCGGAGCGTTTGTTGATCGAAGACGTGTAAGTTTTTCTATTTTTGCTAAACGCAACATACTAAAACCGGTCGATTTGGGAACTTAGTGTCCGATTAATATTCCGCGGTAATTCATATATACTTAAAACAAATGTGTACTCACAATCTTCCTGTTCCTCACGTGATTATTTTGTCCTGCTCAAGGATTTCTTTCTCTTTCTTTTTTTTTTTTTTTTCTATGTAACCGAGCCGTAAATCGAGAGCGCAGCATTGAATCGAAAGTTAAAACGTTGCACAACGATCAGCTGGCCGCATTGTAAGCGCGCCGTCTTTCGCACGGCGCGCGCTCTGCTGACAACATGGTAGAGATTGTCTTGCAGAAGCGCAATATTGCGAACTGCGCTTCTGTTACTGAAAAACGCAACGAAATCGCGATCTTCCGATGCGTTGCGGATGTCATCCGACAAATTCGTTGTCGGCAAAATTGCTTTGCACACAACGATCGCGTAATCGCAGTCTCCCGACGCATGTTCGCTCACATGTGCGCCGGTACCAGTTTAAAATACTATCGCCACTATAATCTGCGCTATTTAGCGGTGAAAGTAAAAGTGGGTTTTCTTACGGCTATGTATCGACTGAATTCTGACTGATAAAACACTTGGACGGGCGAACGGGCGTTTTGCGAACAAAAGCAAAATCCTTTAAATCTCGATCGCATTACGCGTGACGTATTGTGCGAAAACGAATATATATTTCGACGAACGAAATGAAAGACGCGCGAAAGAAACGACTCTTGCCGAGACCCGTCCGGTCCAGTGCTTGTCAGCTGGACAGCGGATTGGCAGTTCCGGTCAGACCTGCGTGAAGCGTGAAGACCAGCAAAGAGACCGCGATACATTCATTCACAACATATTGAAACGAGCTGGTGTTTTAGACATGCAGCGGACTCGAGAGACTCACTTGATCAGAATCCTCCAGAAGCAGCCAAAGCTGGAGCCGTTGGGCACTTCGCTCGCGTAGGATATAGTCATTTCCTGCCTGGTCGCGCGCACTTCTTCCTGATCGGCTACCCTCTTCTTTTTCTTCTTCCTCCTCCGTCGCCGCCTCTTCCACTTCTACGGATGATCTGATCTCTCGCACCGTGTCGTTGGTGTTTCCGGTGGAGATGCTGCACACTCGCGCACATGCGGCGCGCGGGCCGCCGATGTTACTGTCCTATCGCTCCGAGGGATGCTGTGAGGCAACCGAGATCTACTTGGTTGCTTGTGATCGGCTGTCTATCATCAGGAAGACTCGAATGAACGTGCGAATGAACAAAACCAGCTGACCGGGTGGACCGACTGTCTCTACTGACTGAGCTCCACCAACGAACGGCGGGACCAACGGAGAACGGGGCCCGGCTGTGTGCCACCTCCACCTGAGAGCCAGGGATGTGAACGTCACCTGCAGAGCCCACTTCGAGTTAAATCTGGAATTCCCAGAGTTCAAATTGGCCGCAAGAAGCGGCAAAGCGTTTAACATCGGTGTACGCGCTCTTTATTTAAAAAAAAAAAAAAAAATACTGCTTTGGAAAAACACTTGTGTGTTTGAGGTTGTATTCAGGGTAAGATCTCAGTCAAAAGTTTAAGAAACATAGCGTAAACCGAATCTATTTTTAATATTTAGATAATAATTGTTTGCTGGAAAAGTATTATTTGTACTAAAATAAGTTGCAAAAACTATTTATTATACTTTTAATAACTACGGAAAAGTTTTTACGTATATTTTCTGTGCCATTTTGATGTTCACTTTTGATATTTTTGAGTAGGATCATACCCTACGTGCAACGTAAGATAAATGAAAAACTGGAAATGTATTAATCATAAAAGGTTATTAAAACGTAATAATTGTGATGTATAAAATTACAAATATAATTGTTTAATGTATATTAAATATATATTTTTATTCATTTTAGCAAAATATAAATTTATATTTTATGTGATATTCTCTAAATGACTATTTTTTTGAGTAAAAATTGTTTTTAGGATATTTATTAACAACTGCAAAAAGTTTTGAAATTATGGCATATCTACATCCACAGTTATTTTGTAATTTATATCAGAATATCGTGAAATCTCATAAGAACTCGTGTTAAATTAAAATCGTACTAACTTTTTAACAAGGCTCGCAAAGGAGCTGAAATTTTGCACAATTTCTTTTTTTAATATTATCTACCGACTGGCAAATTTCGAATAATCTGTGGCATATCTTTTATCTTACCCTGAATACAACCTTAAGATTCGCAATAGCGAAGTTGTAGCAAACATTGAATTTGCGTTAAAATCGCACATCAAGTGTTAACAACTTCTTCTTTCGAACTCTTTGAGTGAACGTGTTACTCTTTCAATATTTATCTTCAATTTTCCGATTTCGAAAGATAGACACACAACTTTGACGCAAACTTCGCAGTTGCACACAAACGAAGAAAGATGTTTGAAATATAAATTAGAGAAATTAAATAAAAAAAAAAAAAAAACGTTTTATCAACGTTCAAAATCAACGTATCCTGATGGATTAAGAGAAATTGAGATAAAACGAAGACTTCACTGTTGAATTAACTGCCGATTTGACGCGTGTCTCAATCGTGATAATAATCGTAAATTAATGGAAACAAGTTGCCAACGTCGAGTGGCAATTTCATTTCTTTACGCTCGTCGTATTCCGAGAATTCATTATTCTCACTGAAAGACCTCCCCGCAGAAGTAGATGTCAAGTTTCAAAGTCATCCGAGATCCAGCCCCACAAGTCGAGTAACCGTCTCTGGATCGTCTGAGGTTTGCGGAATTTACGTAATAATGTTGCAAGCACACTTGTGGCATATATGTATATATATATAGTTTGACGTAGAATTCTTCTTTCAAAATCAATGACACGTCTGGCCTTTCAAATGCGTTTACAGAGAGTAAAAGGGAAACGGTTCAAACGAGCGCCGCTCGCCAGCGCGATATTAATATCCTAGTTTCGTTACACCTTGCTCGTTCTCCTTCGTGCGTCGATCGTCTCAACCTATACGTATCATTTAACACACACTGCCGCTAGATAAATCAAGAAATAGCAGACAATTTTATGGCTTAACGCGATTCTTCGAGAAAAAAACAGCTCGAATTCTCTTACGGCCCTGCTGCTGCGGCAAATGCAAAGTGAATATTGCATATATAAGGTGTCGAGTACTTGGAAGCGACATCTTGCGCACGGTTGCCATACCCTCCTCTCACCTTGCCATGGCCTAGCCTGCGGCGTAATCGCGGCCTTCTGACGGTACCATCCACCGGTCACCTTTCGCTTCATATTCGCGCGTCGCGAACGGGAATATATAATGTGCGCGCTCGTATCACTTGCCGAAGATGTTAATATATGTCCATATGTAACGGGAAATTCCAAAAATTCGCAACTGTACCTCACCGAAAGGCCTTACTCGGAAGTGACGATTGTGAAACGTCACTTATCCAACGTATTGCAAGACGGTAAAAATGGGTCATTGACGTCATTCATTCTTCGACTCCGATTTCTTCAGCGAGAAAACATCGTTTTTCCCTGAAAAGATTTCCGAAAACGGATTTAAATTATCCTTGGAATTCATAGGAAGAGGCTCAATTTGCAGAAATTCCATTCGCGCGTTGATCTTCTCTTTGATTTGCATAAATTAACAGTCACGACTACTCCGAACTCTTTTGCGTACGAATTGGATACAAATTCGAATGTTCTAATACGGTAAATAGTTTCAGCGAAGAATGACGGTGTACCAAAGTGTTAAGACACAAACTACACATAATTTATTATATTTGATAGCGCTTTTTACAAGGAATTAAAACAAAATACTCGTATAGTTCGTTTCACTCGTCATTATTCAAGATTTTTTAAGATTCACTTTGATTTTTTTCTGCACGTTAAACACGCCGTTTGCCGATGAATGAAGCAACTTTTTCTCATATTCAGTTATATGCATTCGTATGACATGTGTAATACCATTTTCGCCAATGACGCAAGGTAGGGAGAGGAACATGTCGTGATCTATATCATGGTGACCCTAAAAAAACGATTTTGTTTACAATGTAAAACATTTCAATTTTGCACATTTAATTTAGTAAAAATTTTCTTTTAACTAGAGAAATTGTATTTGTAAAAAATAAAAATTATTAATTATTATATAATTGTATTGTAATTATTAAATTATTTCAATTTTATTTATTTATTTACACTCTTGAATGATTATTTTTCTATTCGCAAAATAAAGTGGTAATATTAAGATCTTAATTAATTTAACTAAAAAATCTAGTAACTTTTTTTGCAAAATAAAATAAATAATATTATATAATTGTATTGTAATTATTAAATTATTTCAATTTTATTTATTTATTTACACTTGAATGATTATTTTTCTATTCGCAAAATAAAGTGGTAATACTAAGATCTTAATTAATTTAACTAAAAAAACTAGTAACTTTTTTTGCAAAATAAAATAAAATAGATTTGTGCAATAAGAATAAAGCGACAATATTTATTTCAATGTATACCTGTACTTGGGTCGAAACAGGTATAACATTTTGCGTATTGTATAATATCGATGCTACAATGTCAGATGCAGAGAGTCCAATAGCGATATTCGTGTATCCTTTCAAACAACGCACCACAGCACCTCTAACGAAAAAAGTATCGAACTATTTTTGATGTACAACATTACGAAATTGTTCGGCAGAACATCCGTGACACCATAATCAATAACAAATCACATATTAAAATTGCAATAAGTAATTTCTGATAAATAGTATACGTGTGGTGATATTTATATTACACATAAGATAAATAACAATTTGTTTTACAAGAACAAAAGTATTGCATACGTACAGCGTCACAACTTCTTTCGACAATTCGTGCCACTTTTCATCATCGGTCTCCAGACCGATATTCGGAATGACATCACGAAATTGAACTCCCGCGATGCTTACTCCCGACCAAAGTGGAACTAAGGAAAACGTCAAATGTTAGATCGAACTTAATGCGTTCTCAATCACATTTTTCTCTCGCGTCAAAGATCAATCGACCGAGCTTACCCATACTGTCCCCGTGTTCACCGATTATGTACGCCTGAACTGAACTCGGTGCTATTCCTAATCGATCGCCAATCATAAAACGAAATCTCGCGCTATCGATGTAAGTTCCGCTGCCGATCACTTGGTGAATCGGTAATCCGCTTATCTTCCACGTGATCCACGACATAATATCCACTATAATAAAAATTAAAAAAAAAAACAAAACCGACACCTATGTCGAGTCCAAATTTTTATATTGACGCGAACTTTGATTACAAGATTTAATTAATTTCAACCTGGATTGGAGACGACGACGAACACCGCGTTCGGGCTGTAATTCACTAAAATTGGTATTATTTCTTTTATTATCTCTGTATTTTTGTGTACCACGTCGAGTCGTGTCCCACCCTTTGTTGGCCGTGCGCCCACGCAAATAACTACGACTTTCGAATTAGCTGTTATACAAAAATCTGGGAAAAACAAAAGATGAGAAATCAATAATAAGAAAAAATATCTTAAACGTGTTATGTGCGCGCGCGTGTACATACGCATGTGTAAAAGAAGGAAAGATTGTCACGTAAAGTCACACACAAAATCAACCGCACGCTCTACGGGACTAAATAAAGTCTATAATGTTTGCAACCATATTCATTGACGTCTTATTACCTGTATCGAATTCGATCTTTGGATCTCTCATAAATATCGAACCATGAAGGAAATCCAGTCCATCGCCTTCCAGCTTCTTAGGAAATGGATCTACCATCGCAATTTGCGATGTAATTCGCTAGTATAATTTAAACGCAGTTAAGTCGATATTATTTCTTCGCCAAAAGAAAAAGTGAAAATTGTTAGTAAACAAAGGTATTATGGCTATTGAAGCAAACACAAATGTCGATGTGTGAATAGTTGAATCAATTTATAGAAACTTAGTTGCAAAACGTTTTTGACCTTGTATTAGGTCTTTCTCAATGCATTTAAAATACTGTAGTAAAAGTCGCGTTATTCCATTTGTAAAGAGTTGGTCGGGTCTGCTTGTGTGCGACATGAACAATCTTGACAGCGCTGTGCGACGTATTTTACTACAGTATTTTAAATGCATTGAGAAAGACCTAATATAAGGTCGAAAACGTTTTGCAACTAAGTTTCTATAAATTGATTCAACTATTCACACATCGACATCTGTGTTTGCTTCAATAGCCATAATACCTTTGTTTATTAAAAATTCTTGAAGCTATATACACATATTTTTGAAAATTGTTAATTGCAGTGAAAGATGGCGATACCTGAAAAAGAAGCGAACTGGCGACGGAAATACCGACCATACCAGCCCCGACAATAGCGACTTTGTGGCAACAATCTCTGACTGGTTCCGACGTCTTGCAAAATAATTCTTCTCGCAAACATGGCGAACTAAAATTCGAATAAATAATCGTTTCTTTGAAAATTTCGACGAAATCTTTACACCAGACTTATTCGCACGATTGTTTTTATCAATCTTTAAAAGTATCAACTTTGAGAGATCAAAATCGATTACACTGATTTTTATTGAAATACTATTGAATTACTTATCAGAATTATTAGAAATCTACGTTTCAGTTTATAAGCTGTCACATACGAATTACCTTGTTCACATAATTACAAAGTTTCGCTTACGCAAATAACGAATTCGAGCCTGCGGTCGCCTCTTTCCCGAAAGTCTTTCCTTTATTACTCCCGAAGATTTTTGTCAAGATCGTCGGCGGCAAAGCATGTGTATATGAGCGACTCCTAATAAAATCTCTTCGAAATGTCACTCCTGCGAGATTTCTCAAACGTACCGACAACGACGAGATTGACATCAGAGGTAACAGAACCATCGCTTCTGTCTTTCAATTTTGTAAAATCCGCACAATTGTTTTCATCCGAGCCTGTCACATCGCACGAGACCGTTTTTTTTTCCAAGACGAGAGAGTTGTACCGATAATCGGGCGACATAACATTCTTGACGTACAGCACAGCCAGTTCATGTCGGTTCGCCAATTGTTAAAAACGCATCCATGGTTACTGAAGTTTAAATTAAACTTGTGAAATAACCAATATGATGTAAGAAATAAAACACACCTTATGGAAATAATTGATTTATATAACACATGTTTAAAAACGAAAGCTCGTAAAAATATACAAGAAAGATAGAGAAGATGAGTGAGTTTGTTGAGATGAGTAATTTAAAAAATTTTTATTAATTGTTGCAGTACACATAAAAAGTGACAAATTATTTAATAGATTATTATAACAACAGACGTTGTCAAATTTATACACACACACACACACACACACATAGAAACACACTTAACAGTTAATGGAAATAGGAACATGTCCATTTTATCTTATCGTAATAATGAGTAACATTAAGATAAAGCATATGCACACGATAAAGAGTGATCGACGTACACGTAATTATAAAGAGACGTATAATCTAAAAAGACTACACACACACATAATTATATATATAATAAAGTGCATGTATAATTTAATATATAATTAAGTTATGTAAATAAATAATCGTTTTTGTTGTTTTTCTTCATTTTCCGGGTTTTTGACATTGCAATGTATTTGACAAATAAAAGTTACTAATTTGAATAAATACATAATCTGATATTATTACAAATATTGATTGTAACGAGAGATTTTTTTGTTGTTCATATATGTATAAGTTATATCATATAAAATTAGGTTATATTAAATAAATAATGGTTTTCGTTGTTTTCCTGCATTTTTACATTACAATTAATGTATTTGTCAAATAAAAGTTGAAAATTTAAATAAAATACATAATCTGATATTATTGTAAACTAAATTGTAACAAAAGATTTTTTGTTATGTCATAAACGGCAGAATAAAACTTAAATAGAAAAAAATAAATATAGCACCAAAAAGTACTTTGCGTTTTTTTAGGTTTTGTGTACATATATATATGTATATAAAGTATATATGCAAAAATTTAAAAAGCTTTTTTAAAAATTACAAAAACGTATATATGTGTATATAATACTGTTTTTATCTCATATATAAATACGCAAAAACTTCATATAAAGTGGCACCAAAGCATGCAAGTAAAATAAAATATAAAATACAGTAATACAGTTTTAAAATAAACAGTAATACAGTTTTAAAATTTTAGGCCTCTTTGCACCTCGTGCATCGTTGTCGAAGATTTACGCAACAGCGCAAGCTCATCGGCTGTTAACTTCTGCTGTACGATGTGTGTAACGCCATCTTCACCTAATGTGCAAGGTAACGATAAAAACACTTCTTCTTTGATTCCATGAAGACCCTAAAATTAATTGAACTCTATTGTAGCACAAAATTTCATTTGACGTAAATAATTTTACGTTTAAATACAAAATTTTTATACTATTAATTTATTTAAAAATAATAAAAATATTAAAAAATATTAAAAAATATTAAAAATATACTATAATTACACATATTTATAATTTAATAAAGCGTAAAAATATAAATTTCAATTAGATTAATCATCGCAATGCGCACACATATTCAAAAATTAAATTAATGCAAATTAGAGACAGAAAGAGAATCATGTTATCAACTTACGGTAACTAACGTGGAGACGGCGTGAACTTGATTAGAGTTTCTCAATATTGCTGACGCGAGGTGCGAAACGCTGAGGCCAATAGCCCACGAAGTATAGCCTTTGAGTTTGATCACCTCATACGCGCTTTGCACTACTTGTTTATGCAACTCACCCCATTGCTCTTCGTCTTTGTCGGTGCCTACATGCTCGTTCAGATCACGCAAACGTACTCCGGCAACGTTCACGCCAGACCACACGGGCACTATTAAATGCAAACATAAATGTTTTTGTTACATATTTAAATATTTTTACATTAAAAGAACAATTTATATTTTCAAACACAGAAATACATATTTTACCGCTTGTGTCACCATGCTCTCCGATGATCCAACCATGGCAGGAGGTTGGCGCGACGTTAAGTTTTTGCGATAACAAGAAGCGGAAGCGGGCAGAATCCAAATTCGTACCGCTGCCGATTACTCTATTCTTCGGCAAGCCGGAAAGTTTCCATGCCACATACGTCAAAATGTCCACCGGATTGGAAACGATCAAGAGGATAGTGTTCGGGCTATATTTAACTAGTTGAGGAATTATGCCTTTGAAGATATCGGTGTTACGCTGAACCAGGTCCAATCTGGTTTCACCTTCACGCTGACGAGCGCCCGCCGTCACGATGCAGAGACTCGAATTGACAGTCGCGGCATAATCTGTGCTAGCGTTGATCTTGGCGTTTTTCAGAAACGCACTGCCGTGTTGCAAATCCATCATCTCGCCTTTCAATTTGTCCGCCATTACATCGATCAATACTACATCACTTGACACGTGCTGCAATAAAATTAATGATTATTTGAATGATTCTATCTGATGACAATGAATTAGACAGAAGTAATAATTAGCTTACATTTGCCAAAATGCTAAACGCACAGGCCATTCCCACTTGGCCCACTCCGACTACCGTGATTTTATTTCTACCGGTTAAGATCGGTTGCGTGACGGTCGATAAAAGTTGATCCTTCATTGTTGTCATTTTGTAAGTTCTACAATATAATTCAATAATATATATTAATACACAATAATAATATATTAATAATACACAAGTAAAAATTAAAAAATGTTAAGTTTTACATTTTTTACATGTTCCACTTTGATTCGACAAAGAGTTAAAATAACTTGTAAGAAATGTTGATATAGCATTTTTTGTTTTAGCTGTGTTGTAAATAAAACAGTTAATATGTTTTATTTGTATGTTTTAACATAATATATTCAGTTATTTAACATATTAATATACATACATATAAAATGTTAATATTTTAATACAAAAATATATAATTGTAACATGTAAAAATAATACTAAAAAAACTATAACACTTTCAAGTGTAAAAAATTTTATGAGAATAGTTTACATTTTAACATCATAGGTTATCTATAGTTATAAATCTTCTTTATTTATACTTGTAAATAAATAACTACATCAATAGCGAAAAACTAATATTCTCACAAGCTAAACTGCGCTCGAAAATTCTATTTGTCAGTAGAGTAGAGGTTTAGGACGTAGTTCTATAGAGTAAAATCTCTTTAATACTACGAAATAACATTTTACGTACGAACTGAAAATGTTCGCTGAGCTCACTCTCTTGCATACTTCAAAAAGAATAAAAAAAACTTCAACTTTTGACGAAAAGTGGCAGCGCTACGTATTGCACATTTATCTATTTATGTACTCCTACAAAGTATACATTGTTACATTTTATTTTGAGTTATATTAACAGTAAAATAATTCACAAAAATATTTAATTTTCATGTTATTTTGACATGTTATTAATTATTTTTACTTACAATTAAAATATTTGATCTCAGTAAATTTGATTACTTAGTACGTCGAAGTTTATATTTAGTTGAAGATTTGTATTTCAACTTTTATTAATGTTAAATTGATTTTAAAACATAGAATTTGCAAAATACTAGTTGAAAAAACTCAAAGTAATATTCTATTTCTAAATGCAAAAAGTGTTACGTTATTAAGAAAATAAAAATATTATAAATATGAAAATGAAAATATTATGAATATAACATGTCAGTTGTGTATATTAATTTTACATTAAAAAATAATAATTAAAACTTAGCAACAGAAGAAATTTTGAACATATTGAAGAACGCAAGATATTTTTTTTACTGTGATTGTATAAAATAACAATTTCTTTAATGGATTTTAATTTACATAAAATATTATTTAGATAATTTTTTTCATTTATTGCGCTTATCAAATAAGTTTGAAATTCAAATTCGGTCTTAATAAAAATCTTTGTGTCGTGAAGGTCAAAAAGGTCATATGACGATGTGACGCGTGCTTATGGAAGAGAGAGATTCTTAAAACTTTGAAAACTTTTGTCTATAACGACGATATTGGCTTTCCTCAACTATTTGTTCAATTAAGGTCAAAGTGAGGTCATTAACACGAGTTCAAGAGCCGCGTTAATAATATCGACCCTAGCACTCGTTCGCTCTCTCAGTCTGTTTTTAGAAGGAATTGTAGCGTGGCGAGCAAATGCCATTTTAGGCGCTGAGTTTGTAAAATGTAAGTAAGTATCGCGCGATTTCTACCTGCTGCACCTGCATACAAACGCAGCAAATGATACATACGTACGGTTGTCAGATGGCAGTAGCGGTATGTTATGGGCGAGCACGTGCAATCTATCCTTGAAATACCGGCATTTTCCGTTAAAGTTGCATGCGATACAATAAATTCGAATTGCAAAGCGAAAAAGCGCGGACATAGCAATTTAATTATAGATCAGTTTTATTACGGAGAAAGAGATCGCAATCATTAATCGTAGATCGCCAATAGCACTTGATCGACAGGATATAATCGGAGCAAGAGAGACAACGTCCGGTATTAAACTCGCCATATATATTTCATACAGGCGGGCAAACGGCAATAAATTGTAACACACCGGTAACGGTAAGTACGACACGAGATAACACAACCACGTGTATGCGCTTCTCGTCTTGCGTTTTATCGCAGATAAATAAGAGCCGATTGATAGAAACTCAAGTATAAGAAATACAAGAGAGAGAGAGAAAAAAAAATTTCAATAATTAAAACATAAATATCTTTGTATATTGAAAAATTTATCGATAATTTTTTGATGTTGTAGATTAAATCGGACAAAATAAATCTGCGCAATTTCATTAAAATGAATGAAATTAAAAGCCACAAAGTTACGTTGTACTCGGATAACTTACATAATATTATTAACTTTTATTAGAGTGCGAACATCTCAAAAGTAATTCTAAATGATAAATCTGACACTTTTAAGATTGATTTTACTGATGACTGTGTTCGAAGACAGTTGAGTACTGACCTCAATATTCTCTTTTTTTTTCTCTCTTTTTCTCTCGACAGCACACTATTCTCCGACACTTTCAAGACGCAGACTGAACGCGCTGCAGCCGTCGCACCGGTATTCTACTGACTGGACTGACAGTTCAGGGTTCGCTAAGGTGACCTTGTCCCCACTTTTTACCTTCCGCGAACAATACGAGTATGACGAAATACAATCGTTTGAACTTGAAATGAACAGAAGAAAAAGATGTCGAACCGAAAGATGGATACGGAGTTGACGAAAATTTCGTCAGATATTTGACGAGCTCCAAGTGGATTTTAATTCGATTGTCGTAGTGAGCGATACGTTAGTGCTTGGAAGCACGTAGAACTTCGCGGTTTCGGGGAAGGAAAGTGACGCACGCACGCGCAAAGTGATGCAACCTCACGCATGTGACGAGCAAACACGTTCACGATCGATCGCGCCTCGAAGAGAGTTTTTCTTTCTTTCCTCCTGGATCTTTTAGAGATCCACCAATCATGAATAAGCGGGGAGATGAAGAGTGGGGCAGATGTATTTGTGGAAGCAGTAACTTCCTTCGTTTTATAGCGCAGGAACTTTATGAGATTCCCAGGCAGAGTTAAATTTGTCTCAACGTAATTAAGTGAAGAAAGTGTGCAACTTACCGTGTTTGTTGCAATTTTTGTTTAAAAAAATACTTTTTACATAGACAAAATTTATATTTTAAATCAACTAATTTTTATTTTCACACACAAGATATCACTTTAAAAACCAAACAGATTTGAAAATTGTATTTTAAAATTGACGATGTTAATTTTTATAATAAATCTTCTCGCACCAGATATATTATACGTATATACGAGCAGAACGCAAAAAATTCTCACCGAAACATAAAAACAACATGTCGACGCAACTTGTGCATGACGTTATCGATATCTGTGCCAATGAAGAACACTGATTACCAAATTGGAATAAACGTTTGCAATAGAATGAAATTACGGTTTCGACCGGATACTGTGTCGTTGATAAAATAACGTGTCCGATATACGAGAGATACGTGAAATTACTACGGAAACCGATAAAGATGAGTCACATCGCACCAGTTGCATGTGCGCTGACGCAACTTTCTCACGTGGCCGCAGCACTGCGGTCGTCGATCTTTTTTGAAGTTATACCGCGCTATTCATATTTGGTCGACTTATACGGCTCTCTTTCCCCCTTGTATCTTATTTGCGCGTTCCCTTTTCCTTTTATTCTCATCGAATATATCTGTCTTTCTCTTTATGTCGAAATATGTCATAAACGAACAGAAGACGTGAGCGAACTCACGTAGTACGTTCAGTTTTACGTGCGAAATTGAGTGTGAAATACGCGTGATATACTGAACTCATTGCCACAAATGTGCAATTAATTTATAAATAAGCCCCATCATTAAGCTTTAAATTAAATTATGTGTGTAACGTTGTCGGTAATGTTGTAGTTAAAACTGTTGAAAAAATATTGACAGAAATGCAAAACGACATATTTTTTATTAATGTTTTTTGATTAATAAACAAATTATTATTTGGTTTTTATTTGATTTAACTCTCGAGACTCGATAACATTGAGACGTTTATTCTTCTAAGATAATATTTCTTCTATTTGTAAAGTTGTACAACTACAAAGCGAAGGCTTTATTGCTAGTTTTTTAAAAGTTTTATTCTTGAGTTTTTTTTACGCCGTGGCTACTTGTATATAAAATACTTCACGCGCACACACTCCAATATATGTGTATTTATATATAATTATATGTATATAATGTATATAATGTGGACGTACAAAAACGTGACAGATTGCATGTTTCGTTTCTGTGCAGCGGCCGAAGGTTGAAATGGCCAGCGTAGTGGTAATCGCTGTTGAACGGCAAGACGTCGTATGAAGATGGTACACATAATTACAAAGCCAAAACGGTTTCAAAGAAGATCCGAACAACGAGGAATTAGCATAACCGTATAAATGCAGCCGGACATACGCACGCTCGTACTCTCACCTGCGCATGTTATGTTTATCACTTCTGAGAAGCGCAAATAAACTGCTCGTCGTCGCTACCACCCTCGGGGTGCAATTTCCGATAAAGAGACTACAGAATTTTAAAGACTTCGACGTTAATATCGGATGATGTAAATCGCATTGTCACTGCAATAACATAGTTTACGTGTCTCTAACGATCACGGGAATACAACAGCGCGTATGACAACAATAAGCATTTTTAAGTAGCGCGCGAAGTATTGCGCAATTAAAAATAATCCTCGTAGCTAGAATAAAGGGTTTTAGTTTTTTTTTGTTTGACATCCTTCAGAACTTTCTTCAAAAACTCATAAAAATAAATTAACAATAAATTATACAAAATTTTGTTTAAATAAACAACAGAACATATAAGTTCAGTATTGACGCGTGCCTCTTACAATGACATATCATTTTATAACATTGACTGTAAATCTCACAAGATGATCGTCATACAGTAGTGAATATTTAAGAATGTCCACTGATGATGACTCAAATCAATAAAATCGAAACGTTTGGATATTAATCAAATTGAATATTTTTGCACAACACCCTGCAACTGGTTCGCAAGGTCCTTTTCATACACACCATTTTGAGAGAACATATAAGTTTAAAAGAAAATGCCGGAAATTTTTGCAAAATTATTTTAAGATATTTATTTTATTTTATTATTTATTTATTTCTTTTATTATTTATTTATTTTGTTATTTATTTAATATTATTTATTTACTATTTATTTATCAATTTTATTTTAAATAAAAAGATAGGGAGAAGGCAATAACGAGCTACAACTGATATTCGGGTAAAATTCTTCTTTAATCCGAGAATTTACAAAAGAAGATACAAACGTTTGTATTCCACTATGAGATCTTCTTCAGTGTTTTCTACATAAAAAAAAAAAAATTACAAAGAGTGCATGATCTATTCGCGACGATAATGAAGAATTTGGATACAGAAAAGATACGCTACAAACATACTCAGTTTGAGGAAAAATGAGGGAGGTGGCAACTAACAATAAATAACCGTCAGTATTGTGCAAGATGATGCAAAACGTCCTCCCGATATCGAATACAACCGACTGAGCAGCCTTCTTCCAAATTCATGTCACATGCCATTATAAGGTAAAATTAAATACATCAGATCCATGGTTCGTCCATAATTTTCCTTTGGTCGAAAAAAACGACTTAGGAGTAAATTTAAAATATGATTTATCTTAATTTCGTCAATTCTCACGCTTTCAGATAATTACTTGATTTAATTGATAAAAAGCAATCATTGCGCGAGAATTGATTAAACTCGTTAACTTTGAGTTTGATCGCTTAAATAAACAATTTTCTGTTTATTTTGTTCATTAACGCAACTAGGTCATGAAAATACACATCGATATAAATCTGTCGCTAATCTTAGAACAAAATGGAATTCGTCAAGGTCGTTTACATATATTTGGCTGTTCTCTTGTAATCTTTCTGCTAGTTTTTTTTTGTCTTCGCGCGCACAGTCAGAAATAATAACTTAGCAGATGATAACGCACACAGAGGCTGTAAATTTTTTGTCGAATATCAAATGTGTTTATTTCTCAAATAATTATCTGGGTTTCGCTCTTTCGCACGCTGTGAAGATTGCCGCGGTAAAATTTCGAGAATCCAGCGACTATAATTCTCAAGCGAGATTACCATTTCCTGTTAGCGGTCTCTCATCGCCACACTCGTGTTCTCATTCCTTGCCGCCTGTAGATCCAAAGGTAATCTGCATCGAACGTCTCTTTGGAGAGCGCACCGAGAGCGATCTCCAAAATGCGAACTGTCGAGCGCGAAAGCTATATGCGTGTAAAGAAAAAAAAAACACGTGATCTCGTCGTCGTGTAATAATCGTCTTTTAAAATATACGCCGAAAAGAGAAAGAGACATTGCAACATCCTGCTGCGATTTCCATAAACAATGCGCGCGCACAAAGTTGCCCCGTAGCCGACAAAATCACGCAGAGAGGATCCGACTCGATCTCTCGTTAAAAGCGAGGAAGGACGAAGGACAGAAAGAACAGGCTCTCATAATAGAGCAATTTAATAAATTGTCGTGTGCAGCAATTAGGAACTGTGTTAGGGATCAGCAATGAGACTTTGATATGGTAATTACCGCGGGATAATGCATGTGCATTCGTTAGCGCGACCGCCGTATATACATATATAGTACATGTCTACACACAAGCGCAAATTTCGGCGCGAACGCTCACGTTGCATTCGCAACGTCGAAGGACCCACGAATATTACGGCCGTTTTTTTTTTTTTTTTTGCGACCCGTATATACAGTAAATTATAGTCCGTAAGAGAAGCGCGTGCTTCGCATTTGCGGAAGAAATTGCTCGCGGGAAGGAGTCTTTATCTCGAAAAGAAATTTCTTTAAATTGTCCGAATACATATTTGTCTCGCGCAAATTGTCTCGATTCAGCCTTTCGCTTTTAGTCCGGAGAAATTGAAGAAGCGCGCGCGATATTGTCGCGCAACGCGTGTAATTTTGACGCAAAGTTTCACGAGACTTAATATTTATCCGGGAATATATTCATCGCACATATTCAGCTATTGAGAGAATTCGCGTTGTGCGCGAAAAACCGCGCAGATTTATATTGTGCACGCACGATTATTATAATTCGTATTCTTGCTTTTTTTTTTTTTTAATGTTCAGGAAGCGGAGAATTATTGCTATAGATGAAAAGCATTAATTTTGCAAATAATTCTTACATATAATTACAGTCGTGCGGATTCGCCCTCTCGTGCGGATATAATGCATGCATGTATGCCGTTGCGTTTCTGTCGATGCACGAAATTGCACATCTGATGGTCTGTTCGCAACCGCATTCTTATATGCCCGTGGTACCGCGGGTGGTCGTCTTCGGCGTCGGGCGTTAAAAGCGCACTCACGCGTGCAAACGATGAATACCGGGGAAAGATACAGTCAGGGAAGAGAGAGAGAGAGAGAGAGAGAGAGAGAGAGAGAGAGAGAGAGAGAGAGAGAGAGAGAGAGAG